GCTGTTTTTCTCCCAACCCCACTGATCCAGCTGTATCCTAAACTTGGGCTCATGTCTCCTTTACAGTCTGCCTTCTGAAATCACTGCGTTGTTTAAGCAATCAGCCAGGAGTGGCAAAATCACGGGGGTCCCTAGGCTTAGAAACGTCATGTAGGTGTACACGGCATTGTGCAAAAGGTCCCACTTGCTCATCTGAGCTGAGAACAAATCTCTTTAAGCCACCTTCTTGTCTAAATCTGAACCTAACTCCACAGGAGGAATGGACAGGATTTTGACAAAATGACGCACGAACTAGGAGACAGACTCCTAGGGCACAGAAGGTAAAGCACAAGGGAGGCTGGCAGATGCAACTCAAAGACTCAGGTGCTCTCACTACACAGTGGTGGAATCTCGTAAGGGTTCAGTCTGTTCCAGGAATATGCTTTAGGCTCAGACTTCCTAGGGTTTACCCTCCTCAGGTTGTGTTCATTCCCTCAAGGCTAGTCCTCCAGGTATACCTGGTTGAGGTTGAGCTGAAAGAAAGGAATCCTGGGAAACAGAAGGAGAAAGAGAAAAATCAAAAAGCCACCGAGATATGAAGACATCATGAAGTGGAGACAAAAAGAGAAACGGATTTCAACAAGCAGTCTCAAATTGTCAGTCTTTGTTTGGTGTTTACTGGGTTCAGAACAGTTTGGAGCCAAAAGAAACCGAAGGCATGGTTCATGCTCCTTAGAGAACTATCGTTTTAATGAGTACCTATTTCGTACCTAGCCACTGTGCTGGTCTCTGCCCAAATTACCACATTGCCTCCTTCCCAGGGAGGGAGGTGTTGTGTTATGAACTTGTAACATCAAGATGGAGAGACAAAATGGAGAGTTGCAAAACAGAAAATACAGAGAGCTGGAGAGAAAACACAGAAGGACAGTCAGGTGGTATGCAGGAGAACGATAACTGATGTCTCCATATGGGTGGCCAGATAGACTCCACCAATGAGAGAAAAGGTAAATTAAGAAGTGACATGGCATAAAAGCCTTCCCTTGACTAAGATCAAATCTGGCTGGGTTCACAGGTGCGAGGACAGTCACCAGAACTCAGGAACAAGATGAAGTATAAAGTGAGGACGCTCTCAGGTGACTTGAGCTCTGACTCCATGAGAGTCTTCACCAGCAGTGCGTGCTTCAGGATCCCAAGAATCACAGTGTATCCTCCATGTGGACGTAAGAAGAGTACATCTCTCTGGAGTCAACCCTTGGTGAGAGCTTAGATGTGAGCAGGAAAAAATCTCACCCCTTAGCTCTCCCCTGATCCCAACTATTTCCTTTAAACGTCCTACGTAGTTTGACTTCGGTCTTGAATATGTCCTGTCCCTAAGATTATCCGTGTTAGTGTGTGTCCTAAGGGTAAAATAGGCCCGCTTCTTTAGTATGTAAGCTGCTTTGAGGAACGATTTAAAAAAAAAAAAAAAGAAAGAAAGAAAGACTGCATAGTGTCTAAGGAGGATTCAAAACCCTTCCAAATGGAATTCCAATGTGTCTATAAAACGTATCCTTCAAAAAATCTCATTGATCACTTTACAACTCATCAATTCTCCACACTTTAAATTGCCAAGCGCAACTCATACCCTCCGTCCTGCTGACTTCCTTGCTTAATCATGCTTGTCCAACCAATGAAAATCTATCATCTATCTATTTGAAGTCACTTCCCATCCAAATTCACCCTTCCACCTAAATGTGGCCCACACACTAAAGCTCCGCCGACCCCAATCCCGCCCCCTCCCCCACATGTCCAATGCCTTATCCTCCTACCTACCATTAGCCCAAACTCACATTTCTCCTTTCCCAAATCACCACACCCTTCTTCTTCCCAAGTATTTGATAGATAAATCACTCTCTTCTATATCAGATTTATCTCACAGAGATAAATCACTCTCTTCTATAATCAGATCTCATTATCTTAAAATACTCACAGGATCTAATTCTCTCATGTGATACCTCTTCACCTTTCCAAATAGAGGCATCCTAGGAAGGTGTGGAATTTTCCGCCTCATCTTATCATGAATCCTGCTACTTGCAAATGAATTCCTCTCACACAATCCATCTCTCCTTCCACACAAAGGCTACTTCTACAGGATGCCCAGTTCAATTTGAATTTCCGATAAACAATGAATCATTTTTTAGTATAGGTAGCCCCATGTAAAAAAGCTTAAAAATACATTATTTATCTAAAATTCAAATATAATGGGGCCCCCTGTATTTTTTTTTTTCTTTCTAAATCTGGCAACCCTAGATACCACACACTCTCCTTGGGACCAATATGGCAACTCATTTTCTAATGCCTCATCTCAGGAAAAGGTCTCAGACTGATAAAATGTGCCTGTCCAGGGTTGCAGGTCAAATTTCTAACCATTCAACCCTACTCACAATGGTTGTCCCTTACCCTTCATTTCAATCCCCATGCCCAGATGCTCTTCAAAACCAAAGCAACCAGAAGGGGATCCCTTACCCAAAGTGAATTCCCAGATGGCAAAAACAGGTGACTCCGAGGGAAAAAGAGGAAAAGTCTGGAAGGATGCTATACCAAAATGAGGCATAAGAAGGAGAGTTCAATGGCAAAGACAATAACACATCAGCCACACATATTCTGAGGAGGAAGTGGGAATTACAACTTGGGACAGGGGTCAATTCTTTTAGCCTCCACTACCACAGTATAAGGACTGGGTCAGGAACACCCACCTCATGGGAGACCTAGCCTACAATAAAGTAACCACTCCCTACAGTGGTCACAGGGTCCTGCTTACCCTTTGCACCAGGAGAAAGTCAAAGATCACCTTCAAAACAGATGTCCCAGACAGTGCTGAATGTCAGCTTGTCAAGGAACATGACAGGTACCCAGTCTAAGGAGATGCACGTCTGTTTCAGCAAGAGGGTGGCCATGAAGTTGAAGGCCAAGACAGAAACTTGACCTGCTTCCTTGAGTTCTTCTTGGGAGAGATGCATGTTCTGGTAAAGATGGAATGGAGCCGCTTATGGCATAGGAGGAGATATGCCCTTTCTCCCCTCCAGACTTGAGCTGGCTCCTCCACTTGAGCTCTTTTGAAAGGAGACTTTGGATATGGCCAAATCTCAGGTTGCTTTCCGTCAGATTGCCCAAAGGAAGTTCTGCCCTCCCATATAATCCACTCCCTCCCCGTGTACTGGACCCTGCATACTACCAACTTTATTTCTTGTTACTTCCTTAAACTGATTCCCTCTTTGTTTTGTTTTAACCTCTTACCCTCTTACTCAGGCGATATCACTGTTTCTTCATCCTCCCCTGCTGCAAGGTAATTAATTCTTATTCCGCTGTCCATTTACTTAATTACATGGGGTTCTATCCCTACGCAAGAAGACAAATAACATATATTACATGTCAGGGGTTGGGCATTCTACAAACAAGAGTCATGCTAAAAATAAAAAGAGACCACTTAACTTGATTTAATCCAGTATTTCCTACATTTACTTGACAAAACAACCATTTATTTGACCCCCCTCCCCTTTCCTACCCCCGTCCCCATGTAATACCCATATTCATCTTCTTCTGTGGGAATAGAACTTGCGGATAGGTGTGGCTATGTGACTAAGGTCTGGCCAATGAGATGCAGGTGGCCTGCAGGCCTGCGACTTCTTGGAGACTTCCTCTAATAAGAGCTGGCACACACCCTTTGCCTTTTCTTGAATCCTCCTCCATCCTTCTGTCTGAAACCTGAATATGATGGTTAGAAATCTACCCACCAGATAAGGGATGATGGACTATGAACGGGAAGGAACCTGGGTCCCTGAAGACTTTGTGGAACAAAGCCATCACCACAACCACGGACTGCCTGCCTACCTCCTTTTGTAAAGTTTCTTCCGATCCTCCCAAGCAGAAACACCCACTTCCTCCAATGTTCTTATTGCGCTTCACACAGATCTTTCCTCTAATACGTATCTTATCGAATTAAACTTGTCTCTTATGCACAGGGATTTACCAAATCAAAGCCCATTCTGATTGACAGGCAGTGGATATCGTTTTGAGGAGGAACCCGAGCCTAACTTTTTGTTGAGTGGAAAAGAAAGTCACAAGTGATTGGTGTTACCTGCCTTGAATTTGGCAAGGAGACTGGTAATTTGCCCCATAGAGTTGCTACCTCTGAACCCGGCGTATTTCGATTTCATTTTTTTTTAAAGATTTTATTTATTTATTTGACAGAGAGAGAGGGAGAGAGCATACAAGCAGGGGGAGTGGCAGGCAGACAGGGAGCCCCATGTGGGGCTCGATCCCAGCACCCCGGGATCATGACCTGAGCCAAAGGCAGACATTTAACCTACTGAGCCACCCAGGCGCCCTATTTCATTTTTAACTATGATTTCTAAAGGGTGAGGAACCAATCTTTTCTTACTTTCCATTTCCAGTGCCCAACTAGATTATAGGGTAGAATGCAAATTGCATGACTTTTAAAGATAAAATGAGACTCCTAATTTAATGCTGCCAGCGAGGAGCAGCAGGGCCGCCAAGTCACACGGGCAGAAGCAGCTGGAGCCTCCGGGGCCTGCACACTGGCCACAAACAGGACTCCACGGGCCAGCCGGAGGCAGGTGGGGGGGTGGGGGCTGGGAACAAGGAACAAACAGCTGCAGAGGCAGCGGTCACTGGACCCAGGAGGTGGCCCCGCACAGCTGCTCCCTTTCCCGGGAGACCAGTGGGAGACTTTGCAGGAGGGGTCAGGGTGCCACTGAGCTGCTGAACACCATGGAGTACCAGGGCCCGGGAAGCTACGCAGGAGGTGCCCGCTGCGGGGTAGGACACGGACGTTTGAGCCTCGGCCGACTTGCACCTCTCTGGTTGCAACTGCAGTATCTGAAAGAAGCCACAGAACAGACACTTCCTTGCTCAGGCTTTTGAAGCCTGAAGGGAGCCAAGAGCGTAAGCACACACTCATGCAAAGCACACTGAGCCTAGCACACCTGTCCAGCCAAATGAACAGACCTGTCAGAATCTCCAGAAGTAAGAAAAAAAGAATTTTATTTGAGCCCAACTTAGGCCGGCTGCCAGGAAACGCGCTCTTCACAGGGAAGAAAGTGTTCTGGAGAAGGAGCGGTTTTTACAGGGTCATATACTTTTTTATACCTTGTAAGAGCTCAAAAGACTACAGATTGGCATACAGGCAGGAATGAGCTTTTTCACAAAGGAATGTCGGGAGTAGGAACATCCACCGATGGCTCAAGGACAGGCTGGCTTTCCTTTAGACTACTCATTTACAAAGCGGACGTACAGTGTATTCGTGGTGCACCATACACTAGGCTTTTGGTTTGAGCAAAGTTTATGTATGGTCATGCTATCTTAGAAAGAATTTCCAAACGGCTTCCCCTGTGTATGAGGTCTTCAGAGAGTTTTTCTCTCATCACCTTCTGTAAGAGCGGGGGCATCCAGCGCCTCTGCACGCCCCGCTCATACCCTGGAGGCTCTGGATTGGCCCCACACTGCCTGGAGGAGGGCACTGGGTGGAGTGTGGTCGCTGAGGGATTGAACGGCAGGAACTGGGAGGCCACAAAGGAGCACAAAGGCATCATCAAGACCATGTCTGAAGAGTGAGCTCCTGCGTCTCCATTCCAGAAGTTGTAATGCTTGGGGCCGGCAGCTCTGCTGTCCTCGCGGCACCTCGGTGGTGCTCGTGAGGGTGGCTGGTGGGTGTGGACCCAGGCAGCCGGTTCCATTGGCCAGTGGCCATCTTGACCTCTGCGGTTTGTCCCAGCTACTCGTTTCTTTAGGCAGCTCTTTGCTCCTCCTCAGCCCAGACTGGGACATAGGCTAGTTGACATCCATCTTTCTCTTCCCAACTTTTGTGTGACCTATTAGGAAAATCAATATTTTGAACAGTGAAGCAATTACTGTGGCTTAACCCCACCACAAAGATAAAATGAGACCCTCGAATTTGACACCCGTGACAAGTCACTTTGAGGCGCTTGTTCGTTTTCCTCTTGCTTGGGTGTATTTCAGTGAGAAAATCTGAGCTGCTCTAGGAAATCAAGAGATGAAGATGCTATCCTCTTGGAGTTGTTGGACCATCAACTCGGTGATTTTTAAAAATATGCTGTTGGTTGTTTTCCTTGGCATAGATCAAAGAGAAAATACTTTTGGGAGACTCTTAACTCCGCTGAATCAGGGTTTTGGTGAGTGACTAATAGAACAAAGTGGACGCCTGACGAATATGGTACCTGTGGCTAGTTGGAATTCCTCCCTCCAAATCCTAAAACGGTCTCTGGACAAGACCCAAGCAATGCAGATGTATTTTCCTTCCTCTGATCTCAGATTCCTTCTCTGGTTAAAGGATCAATTCTCCTTAGTATTTTAGAACCCAGCCTCCCCTATCTCCTGAGTGGCCTCTGATACCCCTTTCCTGAATCTTCATCCTCTATTGGCATTTTTCCTTTAGCGACATATTCAAATCTCTTTCACCCTGAAGCTGTAGGCCCTACTCCCTCTGGAAGTCCTATGTTCTACAGTAGAGATGGCCTTTCATTTTTCATTTTTATAGCCAAAATTCTGGAAAGAAATGATACAGCTTGTGTCCTGTTCTTCCCTTTCCACCACACTCCACAGAAACTGCCCCTATTAAAGATGAAAAACTCTTGATTCCTAAACTCCCTAGATCTTCTTCAGAGAAGGAGTATAAGATGGTGGTAACAAGCACAGACTCAGAAAGTCAGACTGCCAGGGTTTAAATCCCCATTCTGCCACTTACCAGCAGCATGATCTTGCACGAAACACTTAACTTCCTTGTACTTCATTTCCCTCATCCATAAGATGGGGCTGTTGTGAGGATTAAACAGCAAAACGTTCTTGAATGACTGAGTTAGTACACATAAGGAGCCTGTAACATGCCTAGAACATAGAAATTCCCAACTGATCTCTGTATGACACTGCTGTCATCAACCTTTTATTTGAAACTCTCCTCCCTTGCCCTGACCCATTTTTGTTTGTTCATTTTCCTCATAATTTGCTGGCTGCTCCTTCTTATTCTTTACCCTTGTCTCCAGGTTTCCTGTTTTGCTTCTCTCTATATTTTAAAATAAAGTCATCTTTCTAAATAAATACATAATAAAAATAAAAACTCTCTAAAGAATTTTAAGCTTGGAGATAATTCAGCCATCCTATGAATGGCTTCCGTTTCCTGCGAGGTCCATTAATCGAACTCACATTCAAGTATCTCTTTTCTCCCATCTTCCATTCCAGTCCATCTTCAACTCATTGCATCTGTGAAGCTTCACCTCATATTTCATCCCCTCCAGAGTCTTTTCTAGACTTTTCTCGAATTCTTAATTAAGTACCCCTTCTCTGTGCTCCCAGACTGTAACATGTAACTTCTACCTCTATGACACCACTTACAGCACCTGCTGTCTCCACGCTAGAGTGTGAACCGTTAGAGGAATGGGACTGAATCTCACCTGTCTTTATATTCCTAAAATCCAATATAGAGTCATATGAATTGGTAGTGCTCCAGAAACATTTGTTGAGTGAATGAAACAATAAATAAAATGAGCACTTTGATTGGGCCAATGTCTCTTGAAAGAAAAGGCTGAAGAGTTCACCAAGTACTGAGACCTTCTTACATGCAGTGCAGGGATCAGAACCATTTGCTTTATTTTTATTCCAGTACTTTCCCACAACACACTCACCACTATTGAGGTAGTCATACAAATATAGTGGTTGCAAGCACAGGCTCTGGTACCGGACTCTTCATCTTCCAGCTTCACCAGTTACTAAATGTGTTATCTTGGGCAAGTCATTTAATCTCTACGTACACCAGTTCCCTCCTCAGATAAACTTAATACATATCAGAATTTTTCTTACAAGGTAATGAGATAACACATGTGAAGTGATTAGAACAGGGTCTGGAACATACCGTACATAGAACTTAAAATTATTATTTCAGGGGCGCCTGGGTGGCTCAGTCGTTAAGCGTCTGCCCTCGGCTCAGGTCATGATCCCGGGGTCCTGGGATCGAGCCCCACATCGGGCTCCCCGCTCTGCGGGAAGCCTGCTTCTCCCTCTCCCACTCCCCCTGCCTGTGTTCCCTACCTCGCTGTGTCTCTCTAATAAATAAGTAAAATCTTTTTTAAAAATTATTTCAAATATTAAGACGACTTTGGATATTTTGGCCTTACTTCGCTCAATTAAAAACAAATACTAAACTATGGGGCGCATGGGTGGCTCAGTTCGTTAAGAGAACCACTATTGATTTCCTCTCGGGTCATGATCTCAGGGTCCTTAGAACAACACCCCCACCCCCCGCGTTGGGCTCCCTCTCAGTGCGAGTCTGCCCGAGATTGTCTCCCTCTGCCCCTTCCCCTACTTGCGCGCTAAATAAATAAATAAATAAAAATCTAAAAAAATATATGAATCTAAAATAAACTGCAGCTCCCCCTGGAGAATTCCAGAATTAGAAACATGACTGGTTAACCCTGAAGGCGTGACTGGTAAAACCCTGATGATGTTCTCACTGCTCCCCATCCCCAGTACTTTGCTCACAATCGAAGTCCCTGGCTGCGTTACCCAGGCTTTAGTCCTTTATTTTCTTAGTGTTCAGCCTTCCTCTTTGCTGTCTGAGGGCTCTTTTAAAAAACTTTTGTTCACAGAACAGTTGAGCAGGGAAAACAGATCTCCATAGATACTTCGCTCTGAAGGGAATCCCATTTCTGCTCCAACCCAAGCAGACGGGATTACTCTTCGTTGATTCCAGCCCAGAAACGGGACGGGGGACCGTCCTGGTGTGAGCAGTCCCAGCCTCGGCGGCAGCTGCCTCCACCTACACAAGGCCACTACCACCCCAAGCATCTCAGCCGTCTCGCCAGCCACATCTTCGGTGACTGGGCGCTTCCGCTGCGCTTCGGGAGCCTCCATTTCTCCCAGATCCTTCGGGGTGTTTTTCTCAGGGTCGGCATTCGTCTCCGTTACGCTACTTCTGGCTCGAGTTCTCTTTTAACTGCTTTGAGGAAGGGGCCCAGGAGTCAGACACTGTAATATACACAACGTTGCTTCTTCTTAGACAAAGCGGCAGTGCAGTCCGGGCCTCAGCCCAGGACCCCGCAGCGTCCCGCACACTCCCGGGTTCCCGGCCCGCTCCGCCCCGAGCCGCCGCGGGCCCGGAGCGCAGGCGCCCCGGGGCCCCGCCCCGTCACAGGGGTTCAGCCCCCATTGGCCCAGAGGCCGGGGGCGGGGCGCCCCAGCCTCCGAAGCAGGGGTGGTCATGTGACTCGCGGGGGCGGGGCTGCGCCGGCCGCTTCCCAGCCTGGCTGAAAGGGCTCGCGTAGCCGGCCTTGTCGGCCCCTGAAGCGCTCCCTGGGTGGCCTCGCCCCAACTCCCCTCCCGAGTCGCGCAAAGGGAGCTGCTCCTGGCTCTCGTCGGCCCCCCCAGGTTTGCTTTCCTTCTTTTCCCGAAGGTGGGCCCTGAGGTCCACCGCCGCGAAGCCTGCGGCCGCCGGGAAACCCAAACCCCAGTGTCCGGAGACTAACCGGAAGTGCGGTCCCAGGCGGAGGGGCGGTGCCGGCGGCCGCCCGGGTAAGCGGGCCCGCGGGGCCTGGGAGGGGCGCGGCCGCGGGGCCCGGGGGAGGGGGAGGGGTGCGGCGGGACCAGAGCCAACCCCCCCACATGCCCTCCCCGGCCCCCCGGCCTGCGCAGGGTCACGGCTGCCCCGGCGGCGGGGCCCGGGACCCCCCCTGACGGCGGACCGAGAGGCGGTCAATGAAAAGTTGAAAGAAGAGCAGCTCAGTACGGCCGTTCTTGGAGAGGATAATAGTAAACGTTACCAGGCACTTTTCTAAGCGATCTGTATCTCTCATATTGGGGAAAATCCCAAGGACGTTGAATGAAGTCCCCCCCCCCCCCACCGCAACCACCACCATCTTTAAGACAGAGATTAGTTATGTTGTACTCAGATCTATACACAGAAGATTATTTAACCATGTCGTAACTATGGTTTAGAAAACTGCGTTATATGTAACATTGTACTGTATGCACTTACCAACTACGTCTTGGGGTGTATATGGTAGAAGAATGGGTCCTTGACCTTAGAAGTTGAGATAATGCAAACAAAAAACAATCAGCAGAAAGAAAAATCTAAACAAGTAAAACAGGACTCAGGGCTTTCTTAAGAAGTAAAAGTCATTATCCAGAAGGACTCTTAATGTTTCGGCTAGTGCTGGTTGGGAAGGAAGTGATGGCTCCCAGTGGCAGCTACTTCTTGCAGGAGAAACAGAAAGTAAGCAAATGTGGGAAGAGGTAAGATGTGGTTGAAGGCTGACGACCAGACTGGGGAGTAAATGGGACCGGTATTTAGATGTCCAGCTCCAGAAAAAATAAAAATTTCAGAAAAAATTATAAATTTCAACATTATTCATTTTTCTCTAGGAGAGGGAAGAATTGAGTGCTATGCATACTTACGGACTAGAGACCTTTTGAAGCCAAAAGGAAGACAGTCTTGAGTCTTCATTGTTATGGTAAGTAGCATGCCAGGCTGTATGTTTCTTTTTTTTTTTTTTTTTTAAAGATTTTATTTTATTATTTATTTGAGAGAGAGAGAATGAGAGATAGAGAGCACGAGAGGGAAGAGGGTCAGAGGGAGAAGCAGACTGCCCACTGAGCAGGGAGCCTGATGTGGGACTCGATCCCGGGACTCCAGGATCATGACCTGAGCTGAAGGCAGTCGCTCAACCAACTGAGCCACCCAGGCGCCCCAAGGCTGTATGTTTCTATATAAATGGATTTTGGAGTGGATGGGGTGGGGCAGTACTTGGGGAGGACAAGAAGGATTGGGGAAGATAATATGAAAAAGGGATTGATACTTTCTTAGCTCTTGAGATAGCAGAGTGATAAAACTGGATCCTGTTTTACTAACTTGAGTGTATTTTCTACTCCTTTCCAACATACATATTCACAATAGGCTTATAATAATTGCTTCTTGATTGATTTGCAGCCCCCAAAAAGGCAGTATGCCCGTTGCTTAGGCTCTGTAGTTAGAAAATTGAAATTTAAATCGTGGCTGCGCTACTTACTAGCTGTGAGTTCTTGGGTAGTAATATTTAATTGCCCTAAGCATCAGGTTTTCTGTTAGTGCAAATATTGGTATTAATACCTATCTTACACAGTTCTTGGGAAGATTAAATGAGGCAGTCCATGCAATCAGTGAAAGATAAATGAGGTAATCCCTCGCCTCGGGCTTGATAACAGTAAGCATTAGATTAATGCTTTATCGACTCTGCTTGTCCCATACACCCTTTAACCGTAAGAATAACCTTGAGCTTTGAAGTTCTATACTCAGCTTCTCTGCTTGGACTTTTATTGCATGCCTGCTTATTCTGCACACTCTGACCCTAGCCATGGAAGAGAGAACCAGTCTCTTCCTAGGGTGAGGTAAGAGAAACCTCTTGGAGAAGGGTCCCTGGTGGAACAGCCAGGGCTGCTCGCCTAGCTTGTTGCATTGCTATGGGGGTTCTAAGGATTATGGTGGTCCTTTATTTTGCTGTGGTATTTATTCATATTTTTCATTCATGCAACAAACATATGCCAGAGTCTAGGGATATTGCAGTGAACAAGACTAAGTCCCAACCCTAATGGAAGTTATATTCTAGTAGGAGAGAGAAGCAAATTAACGGATATAAAATATATACCCCAAAGTTGGAGGATGAGAAGTGCTATGAAGAGAAATAAAACAGGATAAGAGAACAGAGCTGTTTTATATAAAGTAGTCAGGGTGTGCCTCCTTTTGAGGAATTAATTTTCAGGGAGAGACTTGGATCACATAAAGAAGCAAGCTACCTGGCAGGAAGAACATTCCAGGCAGAAGGAACAAGTGCGAAAGTTCTGAGGTGGCTCGTGAGGCTAAAGATAGGTGGAGGTGCCACATTATAAGGAACAGTGAGAACTGGGTTTTATTCTGAGTCTGATAGGGAACAGTTGTAATATCTTGAACTAGGGAAGTGTCATGGTCTACTTTAAGTTTGACAACCAGACTGTATTTTATTTTCTAGGTGCTGACATCTAAAAGACTTAGATAAGAATAAGAAAATGATTTCCTTATTTTTTTAATTTTTTTTTTCTTCTTGGTGCCCCACAGTTTATTGGCTCCTTAGGGCAAATATGATACCCTGGGCTGATAACTTTAGGGAATACTCTGATTTCATTTGCCAGGCTATGACCAAGCTCCGAATCCTTTATTTCCACTCTGCTCTCCTTTTGACCTGAGCAGTAATACACATTTTAAAAGACAGAGCTTCCATAAACCTACCATTTTATATTAGCTATTTCTCTATATGCCCGCATATCTTTCCTTAGTTGTGATTCTGAATTTTTCCTTTTCATCCTAATATTTCTCCATAAATCTGTTTCTAGTTTTTGCATAATCTCCATACTCATCATTAACTGGCTGAGTTATTTTATTGTTTATGATTTAGTTAATTATTTTATATGGATTTTGAACAAGGCTTTACAGAAGAGGCAGGTGCAGAGGATGGACTTGATAAATAGGGTTTTTGTGTGTGTGAAGATGGAATTCAGAAAATAATAGAACCTGTCATTTATTATCTGTTGAGACACAGGCACTGAGCACTGAGTCCTTTGGTGGCGACATCTTAAGTTCTCGTGGCAGTTCCATGAGGCATGTAAGAGTATCTTAGCTGTTTTATCAAAGGAGAAATTGAAGCTGAAGGAAGTTAAGTAATATACCCAAGTTCTTGCAGTTACAGAGGAGCAGTGGGAATTTGAACCGAAATCTGATTCTAGAACTTGAACATTCAGTTTTAACTAGTGTAATATTTCGACTCTTAGCTACCATGTTCTTTAAAAAACAAACTAAAATATCTTTTAATTTTGAAATAATTTTAGACTTATGAAAAAGTACGAAATAGTACAAAGAATGTTCATATACCCTTTGCCTGTGATCCTAAATGTTAACATTTTACTATATTCGCTTTATGATTCTGTGTGTCTCTGTATACACATACATATACACATTTTTCTCTGAACCTTGTGAGAATAGGTTATAGACATAATGATTCTTCTCAAACTATGAGAACATTAAGCCCTAAAAGTCTTATGACATGCTAAGCCCTGAAGTCTTAAGAGATTAAGCGCCAAAGTCCTAAGGTATGTAATGAATTAACTTCTCTCCTATGCATGTACGGTGCTCCTAGCTACATACCATTCTTGGAAGAATTGAAAAAATAGTTACTCTAATCATTTTCTGTAGGGCTTCATTCTTTCCTAGAAACCCAGTTAAGAATGGCTGCCTTAAAATACAAATCGTTTATTTCCTAAAAACAAGGCTCTTCTCTTACCATTACAGCTATCAAAGTCCGGAAATTAACACTCAGATAATACTGTTATCTTACTCAAATTGAGCCAGTTCTTCCACTAGTGTCCTTTTCAGGAAAAGGAAAAAACTGGTTTTTGTCAGCCAAGATCAATCCATCATTCCCCATTTCATTTAAATGTCTTGTCTTCTTTGTCGTGGAATATATATCCTCAGGCTTTGTCTTTCATAACCTTGACTTTTTTTTTTTTTTTTAAGATTGTATTTGTTAGAGAGAGGGCACAAGCGGGGAGGGGCAGAGGGAAAGAGAAGCAGACTCCCCACTGAGCAGGGGGCCCACGTGGGACCACCACCTGAGCTGAAGACAGACATTTAACTGACTAAGCCACCCAGGCGCCCCATTGACTTTTTTTTTTTTTTTCTTTAAGAGGTTAGGCCATGTATTTAGTAGAATTTCCCTCAATTTGGGTTTGCCTGATGTTTCCTCATAATTAGGTTCAGGTTTTACATTTTTGGCAAGATAGCCCAGAGGTGATATTCTGTTCTGTTCTTTACATTCTATTTGGCACATTGGACATCATGTTACTAGTAATGGTGACTTTGATCACTTGGTTAAGGTGGTGACTTTCAGGTTTCTGTACTGTGAAGTTACTCTTCTTGTTTCTATAATTATTAAATATCTAGTAGGGAGATATTTTCAGACTGTGTAAAATCCTGATCTCATAAACTTTTCACCCACTGGATTTTTACCTGAAACAATTAAACACTCTTCTTTTGATTGGACATGGTGATTTTTAAAATTCCATCAGTTCTTCTACATTTAATTGTTGGCTTTTTTTTTTTTTAAGATTTTATTATTTTATTTGACAGAGACACGGCGAGAGAGGGAACACAAGCAGGGGGAGTGCGAGAGGGAGAAGCAGGCTTCCTGCCGAGGGATGTGGGGCTCAATCCCAGGACCCTGAGATCATGACCTGAGCCGAAGGCAGGCAGATGCTCAAGGACTGAGCCACCCAGACGCCCCTTGGCTTTTTTAATATAAGAAAAACTTCCAGGGCGCCTGGGTGGCTCAGTCATTAAGCGTCTGCCTTCAGCTCAGGTCATGGTCCCAGGGTCCTGGGATCGAGCCCCCATATCAGGCTCCCTGCTCCGCGGGAAGCCTAATTCTCCCTCTCCCACTCCCCCTGCTTGTGTTGCCTCTTGTGCTGTGTCTCTCTCTGTCAAATAAATAAAATCTTTAGAAAAGAAGAACTCCCTTCTCCATCTTTATTCACTTTTTTTTTATCTGTATAGATTCATGGATTCTTATTGTGTTACTTATTACAGTTACTGTTTATCTTGATGTTCTGTTTGTTCCAGATTTTACCATAGCAGCCCCTTCGGCCTGGCTTCTGGGTCCTTATGGCACATTATCACCACTTTTTGAGCACTTCCTTATCCTCTGGTACAAGATGTCCTGGGTTCATCTTGTACTTTCTAAACCCCGGAATCAGCCATTTCTCCTAGGAGCCCTGATAGCTTTCAGTGGAGAATGGCGTTTAGAAACCAAGACCTGAGTGTGTGTTATGCTCATTACTACTAGGATTTCATTCTCTTTATGACCTTTCAGCAGACGTTACTAGAAAAATAAAGTAGAATAAACACACACTTTGACACATACATGCATTTCTATTTTTTCTGTATATACTGTAAAACCTTGGCCTTACACTGATACTTCTAATTCCGGTTACAGAGTTCATTCTTGCCTTTCCGTTGTCTATATTTATAACTCCCTTCTCTGGCAGTGAGGAATCTGTGTGCCATTTTACCCATAGTATATTTACTTATTTGTTCAGTCCTAGGGTATGCATTAAGTAGTATATCTTTACCATCATGGGGAGGAAAAAACCCTACTAATGAGAATTCAGTAATTGTTTATAGTTCTTTTTATCTTTAGCTTGAGTTTGTATAGTCCTAATACTGTATTAAAGTACTGTTTGAGTTATTTTTTTCCCTTCTGGGTGTTGTGTTACTCATTTGAAACAGACTCATTTGTTTTTGTTTGTATTACATTTTGACATTTCTCTCTAGTGTCTTGTCTGTTTATTTACTGAATATGTGAAATGTAACAGTTCTAAAAGTAAAAGTGTTGTGTGTGTTACAAAAATGTATAGTCCCAGACGGTGACCCCCCACCTCTTTACACCAGTTC